CTTCTCTCCCTCCTCTCCCTTTTCGGCAATTATAGGCTACAGTATCCAATCTAGTTTTTGTTGCTGTTTTTATTTTTTATTTTGCTTTTGTTTTTTGGTGGGGTCTTTTTTGCTGTTGCTTTTGCTCTTTTGTTGTTTTATGTTCCCCCTTCCACCTTTGGAGGATTCTTTCTCTCCCTATATTACCCAAGAAAAGACAGCAACTGCTGCCATACAGTCAAGCTCTATAAAACGCCAAAATCTAGGCAAGAACCAATACCAACTGTCATACAGCAGGGAGGCAGACAACATCTGTTAAAGTTACTCTGAGTTAAACAATAGGAAGAGTGAAAAGGGAAGCCCACATCCTGATCACATCTACCTGGAGGCAATAAAAAATACCAAAACACACAATTAAGTATTAAGGCCACAGATAAACACTAAACATGACCAAGAAGCAAAAGCAAATGACCATATCAACACATGTCCAGAAACAAGATAAAATGTCTGAGACAAATGACCTAGACATAGACCTGGACTCCATTCTGGAAGGAGGGCAAGCCTTGGAAATGCCTGAGAAGGAATTCAGAAAAATGATTATAAAATGTTTCAAAACACTTTACAATGGAGTTGAGAAAAATAAGGAAGAAGTCAGGAAAGTGCTATAGGAACAATCAAATTAGATACAGCATTGGAAACAATTCAAAACCTACAGAAAACAGGTCCAAATGATCAATAACAGAATATCAGACACACTGAAAGGGCAAAGGAGTAGATTAGAAGAGATGGAAGGCAGAACTAGTGAGCTGGAAGACAAATCTCTCAATACCACTAAAATAGAAAAGCAAACAGGAAAAAGGATTAAAAAATCTGAAGAAGGTCTAAGGTTCATGTTGGATAACATGAAGAGGAATAACTTAAGAATTATCGGCATTCCAGAACAGGAAGAATCACATAAGTCCACAGAGGAATTTACCCTTATTTTTATAATAGCTATGATTTTACTGTGCACAAATGTTATATATATATATATATATATATATAATCTTTCCACCTTAAAACTTGTATAGTTAAGTTAAAATGTATTCATAAAAAATTAGCTAGACAGATCTTGAATTTCTACCTTCTAGTATGTTTCGTTCTGCTGTGCATAGGGTCACTATGGGTCAGTACCGACTCGATGGCACCTAACAACAACAAGTATTCTCTTTGTCCGGAAAAAAGCAAAAGTTGACTCCTGTGGTTAAAAGTGATTAACAAAGATAATTAAAGATATTCAGTATAATAATTACAGATAATTATTATATTAAATAATTAAATGTTATGAACATGTAAATACAAACAAGAAAATGGGTATAGTTTTTTACTTAAGGAAATATATTAGGTTGTGAAGTGATAATTTCTTTTTAATAATTGTATTTAATATGCAGATGGATTAACTGCTTTTTAATATGTAAGAAAAAACCTTTGACTTTATTATCTATTTAAACCAATGCATATTTAATTTATGAATGTTTAAACAAATACACATTAAGGTAAATAAAGATTAATTTTAAGAAGTCTATTTATATAGACTTTTTCCTCTTTATAGAGGAAAATGGAGTCACAGTGTGGCACTGGACTGCAAGGTCAGTTTGAGCCACAAGGTCAGCAGTTCAAACCCATCAGTCACTCCTCAGAAATCCTATATAGAGTCACTTGACAAAACTTAACAATAAATTGGAAAAGTCTAAGTGTAGTTTCATAATTAATTTATTTAGAAAAATAGATTATAGATTCTTTGTTACAAATTAGTACATGAATATTATACAAAAATAATAAATTAGCATTTCATTAGTGATCCCAAGTTTTCTTGTGTCTTGTAATATATTTTCCTCTGATTTCTATTTTATCTCATTTATTCATTTAACAATGCATTGGGTACCTAGTAAGTGCAAAGGAATACAGTAATGAAGAAAATAAAACTGCTGTCCTACAGAGCTTACATTCTACTTGGGAGAGTTGGGAAATAAAAAAGAGAAGTAAAATGTCAGGTACTACATGTATGTGGAAAGAGCTTTTGTAGCATAGTGGTTATGAGTCTGGCTGCTCTAACATCAAGGTCAGTAGTTAGAAACTACCAGCTGTTCTGTGGGAGAAAGATGAGGCTTTCTTGTCCTGTAAAGATTTACAGCCCCGGAAACCCTATACAGGGTCACTATGAGTCAGAACCGGCTCCACGGCACACCACCACCACCACCACATATATGTGTGTGGTGCTGTAGGCTAATGCACTGAACCGCAAGGTTGATTTGAACTGCAGGATTGGTGGTTCAAGCTCACCAGCTGCTCCTCAGAAACCCTATACAAGGTAGCTTTGGGTCGGAACTGACTCGATTGCTCTTAACAACAACATATGTAAGGGGACAGTGGTGATTTTGTGGTAGAACTACTGCAGTTCTACTCTGCACACATGGAATTTGGAATTGACACGAGCTGGAATTATTTCAACAACTGATTTTTTAGTATATATATATATATATATGTTGTGAAGTGTCGTTGAGTTGGTTCCGATCCATTTCAACCATGTATAGGGTTTCCGAGGAGGGTTGGTGAGCTTGAATATATATATTCTTATGGAGTCCTGATGTAGCACTACGGGTTAATGCACTGGCAGGAAATGTCAATTTGAACCACAAAGTTCAACCTTGCAATTCAAACCGGCTTTGCAGTCCGGCGCATTAACCCATAGCGCCACACCAGAACTCCAGTCATTTCTATAAACATATATAAATTTGGAGTCCTGGAGTGGCGCTGTGGGTTAATGCTCTGGACTGCAAAGTCAGCTGTGCAAACTCACCAGATGCTCTTAGGAAACCCTATGCAGGGTCGCTATGGATTGGAATCGACTCGACAGCACTTAACACCACCAACAACATAGACTTAAGTCTTGATGGCACAGTGGTTAAGTCCTTGACTGCCAACCAAAAAGTTGGCTGTTTGAACCCACCAGCTGCTCTATGGGAGAAAGATGTAGCAGTCTGCTTAAAAGTACACAATATGAGGCAATTCTAAGGAGTCGGGCTGCGAATCTCATGATCAGCAGTGAAACTACTAGCTGTTCTGCGGGAGAAAGATGAAGCTTTCTGCTCCTGTAAAGATTTTACAGCCTCGGAAACTCTATACAGGGTCGCTACGATTCAGAACCGATTCCACCGCATACCACCATCACCACGAGGCAGTTTTACCCTGTCTTGTGTTCACTGTAATTCAGAATTGACTTTGCCATCGTGGGTTTGGTTTTTTTGGTAAGTCAAGTAACAGGAGGACATTATTCCCTGAAGATACCTGTATATCTGGTGTGAGCGGCTGGGTGGGATGACCAAGGTAGAGGGAAGTGGAAATATATTGGGGAGTTGTTCATGCAGGACTTTGAGTGGGAGGAAGTCAGTTCAATGTTTCAAACATTTATTTAAAACCCACACGCTTGTAGAGCTATCATCACAATACATTCACTGGAGTGTTTTCCTCGGAGAAATGATGCCATCTGGCACTTGAAAGAAACACTTGTTACTGTGTTAAATAAGGAGAGGCTGAAGAACAGAAGCAGAGATCTACTCAGAAGCTGTAGCAATCATCCAGGTGAGTGACCTTGGCAGTGTGAGGAGGTAGGGAGAAGTGGTTGGTTCTGGATGTATTTTGAAGACAGTGCTAAATCCATTAGATGCCGAGTGTCAAAGTCACTAACATTTTTGGCCTAGTCAACTTAAAAGAGTGGAGTTTCCATTTATGAGATGGCGAAGACTGTAGGCGAAGCTTTTTTGGAAATGTTTCAAAGTGGAATCAATCGTCAAGGATGCAGTCTTGCATGGAGGGACATAGAGCATTTACATCTACTTATACAAAGGACGTTTTGAAATGAGAGAAAGCACTCTGGACAGCTCATTTTCCATGTTCGCTGTCAGGCCATAACTTAGAGAATTTTTTTTGTTTGTTTCATATTGTACTGGTGGTGGTGTGGAATCAGTTCTGACTCATAGAGACCCTGCTTGGAGTTACCCAGGCTGTCTCTCCTACTTTGGACATAGTGTCAGGAGGGACTAGTCACTGGAGGAGGATACCATGTTTGGTAAGGTGGAAGGAGCTCTGGTAGCGTAGTGGTTACGATTCGGGCTGTGAACCGCAAGGTCAGCAGTTCGAAACTACCAGCTGCTCCGCGGGAGAAAGATGAGGCTTTCTACTCCCGTAAAGATTTACACCCTCGGAAACCCTGTACAGGGTCGCTATGAGTCGTTTCCGACTCCAAGGCACATAACAACAACAACAAAGGTGGAGGGTGAGAGAAAAAGAGGAAGACCCCCCAGAGAGATGGATTGGCAAAGTGGCAACATCAATGGACTCAAGCATGGCAACAATTGTGAGGTTGGCCTAGGACCCGGCAGTGTTTCTTTCTGTTAGGGTCGCTATGAGTCAGTATTGGATGGCACCTAACAACAATAACAAATGAGCAGAAAGCCTCATCTTTCTCCCACGGAACAGCTGGTAGTTTCGAACTGCTGATCTTGAGATTAGCAGCCCGACTCGTAATCACTACGTACCAAAGCTCCATATTGCAATAGTAACAAAAATAAAATATGTCATTCATATAAAAAAAGTCATTCTCTTTAAAAATTAGAATATTTCTTTACATTTCAACAAAAGTATAACAACCATGTTTAAAAGCTGAGTCTTTGTATAGCAGTAATATTGAAAAGTTGTGTAAAGGAAGAAATTTTCGCACAGCAGTAACTACTTTCTGGAAGCCAACGGGGATCAGCCTGGCAAAACACCGCTCTTTTCTTCCAGGTCGGCAGAGGGCGCCCGGGCCGCCGAGGGCGCAGCTCCGCGCTTCGAACGGAAGCTCCTCCTCCTTTCCCTCTTTCCCCCTCCCACCTCCCTTACGTCCCTCGCTCCGGAAGTGGCTTGCGGCGTGACTTTCAGCGCTTCCCGCTGCTGAGCAGACCTGGACTCGTGGAACATTTACGCCAGTTCTGCGCTTTGCCATGAGGCTGTTGGGTGTCGCCGCTGCCGCGGCTCTGGGGCGTGGGCCACTCCCGAGGGTCCCTGCCGCCGTGGGCTGGCAGGGGAAGCAGGTACTCTTACCGGGGAAGCAAGGCCGACCCAGGACCCTCACCCCCACCCCCGGACTTTGCTGTGTCCTGGGGCTAAGGAGGCCGTGACCCCAACTCCTTCCCTGGGACCTCCATACTGACAGCTCCGCATGCGGTCGTGCTGTCGTCCTGGAAACCCTTGTATCTGTTCATCCGCCGCTATTCCTGAGCAACCTCTCAGTGCATGGGAGGATGAATGGAGCCCCAGTTCACGGTTAAGCAATAAGTATCTTGAAGGGAAGTGCCTTGAGTGAAGGTCAAACAGCTCAAAAGGTACTTGGGACTCGACCCCAGGACTTAAGGCTCTTTATCCAGTGTTCTTTATCCAGAGTACCCTTGGGCAGACTGTGCCCTCTCAGCCGCTGGTTTGACGCCCGAACCTTCTGGTCCTTCTTTTTAGTCTGTTTCTTACCAAGTAGCTAAGGTCCGGAAAGACTGTTTTCCTGGAGAGTCACAGGGAGGAGTTGAACTTTTGCTCATATGATGCTCGTTTGTTCTCTTCACTAATAGTCCCGGGGTTTGACCAACTAAGCGTTTATCACCCAGATTCCATTTAATATTTTACATACCCTTTCTTTTTAAGAGCGTCTAAGCCCTGGTGGCGCTGTGGGTTAGACGTTGGTTTGCCAACCGCTAGGTTGACAGTTCAAGCCCATCAGCCGCTCTGACTGAAAGATGTAGCTGTCTGCTCCGGTAAAGATTCACGGTCTCAAAAACCCTACATAGGTTAGCTATGAGTTGGAATCAACTTGATGTGAGTTTGGATTTTGGTTTCAAGTTCTGCCTTTCTATTTACCAGAAGTGGCTGCAATGCATTTAAAAGGAGAAGCTTATATTGTCTTAACTCCATAAGATAATGGAATTTTACTCCCAGAGTAAAAGAGATTTTATTATTTTTTTGTTCGTTTGTTTGTTTAGAATAATTGGGTACCTTTTTGGGGGGATGGTCTTGGAGCTATTGGCACCTCTGCGTACAACATTTAAGTCTTTAATCAAACTTCCTTCCTACTTCTGAACTATATAGTAAAGGAAAGGTGAAAAAAGTAAAATTTAAATTAAACACTGTATTTCTACTAAAGTAGCTGTTAGGAACCGTTTTTCTTACTTTACTGGCCTCACTATGTATTTTCAAACCTGTAATATTTGGCAAAGGTGTCTCCACTTTTATGCCACCCAGTATAGGACACCTTGTCAACTGGTACTCATGAGGCATTTCAGTCACACTGAAACATTGCCCTTTTTGTAGAATATATGGTTTGGTGAGACCACAGGATGTAGGGAGACACAGATCAGTATTTAGAAAGTAAGCACTCTAGGAGTTGAGACTATTAAACTTACACATTTTGATTAAAACAAGAGCTAGTCAAATGACTGTTTCCTTGTCAAGTTCTATTAAATCACTTTGCCATTGGACACAGGTACCAGATTGATAGGTTAGAAGCTTCTTAAGCACATTTGTCCAATTCATCTTTGTACCTTCCACAAACTTCCACACTGTGTACATAATGTCTTAAATATCATTCACTAAGCTAGAAGTGGTGGGGTATAAGGTACAAAATTGATCTGAAGTTCAACCAATGTCTTCTTCTGGTAAATGTTTGTTAAGTGCTGTTGAGTCTATTTCAGTGCATAGCAACCCTGTATAGAGTTTCCGAGAGCGGCTGGTGGGTTTGAACCACTAGTCCTGTGGTTGGCAGTCCAGTGCTTAAGCTACAGTGCCACACCAGGGCCCACAGTAAATATTTAGTAGATAATATCTCTTTGTAGCCTTATAACAACTAACACTTTCCAACTCAAATTCTCTCTCTATTTTGGGAGATCTAGAAGTCCTCTTAAAGTAATTGCTTATTCTTTGTGAGAGTTTCATTTTTCATCTGTGAAATTAACAAGGTCCCTTTTGGCATTTACATTTAGGATTCCTAATGTCCACAGTAGCAATCCACAGGTTTTCAGGCTTTTTCTGTATATTGAGGAACACTCTCGTGGGTCAAGGGTAGAGATCTCTCTGCAAAAGTATAAATTACTCTAGGGAACAGGTGTTCTGTGTTGGGCGTTTTAATTCTAGGACCCAGTGTAAATCAGACACTCAGGAAAAGCTTTTTGCTTGTTTAAAGAATGTATTCTTTTTTTTTTTTTAATCTCTCTTTTTTTCAATGTTTTGTAAAAATATGGAACACTTCACAAATTTGCGTGTCATCCTTGCACAGGGACCATGCTAATCTTCTCTGTATTGTTCCAATTTTAATATATGTGCCGCCGAAGTGAGCTCTAAAGAATATGTTCTTTTTTTCTTCTTTCAGTGAGTAGTTTATTTACTGTGATTCACAGAAGTTTCATGAGATATCATCACTTAAGGAACTCTGTGTTAGAAGCATTTGAAATTTTGAGCACTTAGTTGAAGACATATGAAGATACCTGGTGCTGGCCAATGAGTAGATAGCAATAACTCACAAACTGGTATATTTCAGATAATGACAAGTTCAACTATCTCCACCACATTTTGGGTAAATGGTACCTTATTTTCATTAAAGAAAAGTCTTTACTGCTGAGGGCACTGGGTCTCTGGAGTTGATTTGGATGACACATATAGAATAGGGTGTGGTTTCTTACAAGTTTCCTTTTCCATTTTGCTTGCAGTTTCTTTCCCTTCTTTAACTTCTGTTTGAAGCTTTGATTCAGCAGTTAACCTGGGCGAGTTCAGGCTATTTCCACTTCTTTCACTTAGAGCTTCAGAGTCACCTGGACCCTCTATGAATTTCATACGTTTCTTTTCCTTCATTAGCGGCACTTCCATTGACACATTTTTGTAGGGAGAGAGATTGACTGCTGGTGTGTTTACAGAAACTGTCTTTTCTAAGTGCAAGTTGTCTTCTAAACTGATAGGCCTAGACTGTGCCTCCTCTTTCGGAGTTGGTAATCTATTAACTTCTCCCTGGACAGCACTGTTGGCACATTCATCTTCTGGTGCAGTTATGTCCACAGGCAGTACTTAACATCTCTTTTTGAGTACAGGTACTTCAATTATCTCTTCAGGTTCATACTTCAGTCTTAATTCACCTACTTTAGCTCTCAGTTTCATATTTTCACTTTGGGAAAACTGTAAGAATCTTTATTTGTAAAAAGTTTTCGCTCAACATCTAGAGTTCGCTGGCTCTCAAATGATGCTTTCATACACTGTAAGGCTCTCCTTTACTGCTTTCATTTTCCTTGTTAAAGTTATCAAGATTCGTCTGAAGTGGATCTGTATAGTAGGTGTCATCTTCCAAAACGCCAGAGTTGGCTGAAGGCTAAGACTCCACATTTTCATATAAACTCTTAAATTTCTCCAGATTTCTAATTTCACCTAAAAGATGTTTGATTTCACCATTCTTCTGTTCCAACATAGCAAACAACAGTTCCTGCTGGTCAAATTTAGTTTGAGACCCTTTCATCTGAGCAACGTGGCAATTTGTAACTTCATTCTTTGCATCTGTTTTCTATTAAATGCATTTTGTTTCTTTAGGGACTGATACTTGACTTTCATACTGATAAGCTGGCATTCCATTGCTGCTCCTCGATCTTCCACCTCTGCAAACAAAGAGTTGCCTTTACTACTGGGGTCCAGTGCTTGCTGGAGTGCATGGTCCATTTGCACGTGAAGATCTTGATTTGCTACACAAGCTTTCTCTAAGGCATTGTAGTAAGATACTGCTTCTTTCTCTCATTCCTGTTTTTGTTCTTTAAATCGGTCTACCTGGCGCAGTAAATTATTACTAAAAAGTTCTAGTTGTTCTTGTCTGTACTGTAGTTCATTAACTTCTTTTTGGAGGGTGGTCTTTACACTTTCCATTTCAATCAACTTAATTTGAAGACCCAGCATCTCTAAAGACGTGCTTTCATGTGCGCGTTCAGACATTTTCCGCATCTCCTCTGACTTACAAGACCGTTCCTTCTGATGAGCTACTTTGTGTTTCAGCTGTTGTTCATTAAGTCTAGCTTCATCTAATTCAGCTTTCAGCTTTTCTAACTTACCTTTTAGTTCATTCTCTTCCTGCCCATGGCATCTGCTCAGTTGTTCTTCTAATTTCTCCAGTTGCATTTTTTGTTGTTGTTTAACAGCTTCACATTCAGAGCTCAAACTTTCTAATATTTGACTCTTGAGCTCAACTTCTCTCTGAAGAGTATATTTTTCTTGTTCATAATTCTCAGTCATGGTCATCATTTCATGATGACACTTAACCAATTGGTTCTGCAGTTCATTTTGGCTCTCCACAAGTTGTAAACTATGTTGTGTAGCTTTTAGCCGCTCTTCTTCAACCTCTTTTCAGCTTGGATCAAAGATCTGTGATTTAATCTTTCTCCATATTCTTTTTGTGTTTTTAGCCTTTTACCTGATGCTGTAGATGACAGCTCGCGATAGAGCTCAAGGCACCCAGATTCGTAACCGTAACCACCTCACTAGCAACAAACGGACCCATTCACTCATCTACCTCTCGGGTAGCGCCAGGCCTTTTTGAATGTAGTTGCCGTGATAACTCAAGAATATATTCTTGCTGTCCTCTTTTGTAGTCTCTCCTTTGCTGACAGGAGTGGTTGTAGTTGTTATTCCTACTCATAGTGACCCTGCACAGGGTTTCCGAGCCTGTAAATCTTTAAGGGAGCAGAAACCTCATCTTTCTCTCGCAGAACAGCTGACAGTTTTGAATTGCTGACTTTGAGGTTAGCAGCCCAATTTGTAACCATTATGCTACCAGAGTTGTGAATAGAGACAGTGCCAGCCAAAGCCCTTCTGCTCTTACAGGCTGCCTTAGTGATACTTTGTTTTCATTAAGGTCTTTTTGAAGGGAAGATGTCCACCAAACCTGTTCTAATTGCCCTTAGTTTTTGCTTATTAAAAAAATGTGTTGAACTATCTTATTTTCCAGGTTAATTGGAGGATCTGCCGATGGTGTTCATCTAGGGTAATTCCTAATGAAAAGATACGAAATATTGGAATCTCAGCTCACATTGATTCTGGGAAAACAACACTAACGGAACGAGTGCTTTACTACACAGGCAGGATTGCAAAGATGCATGAGGTATATGCACAGTTGATCCAAAATTACTTAAAGCTTGATTTTAATTGTTTTGAAGTTATGATTTAATAAACTTCACAACACTAGAAAAAAGAACTGGTAACAGTGGCTCTTTAAACAAAGTCACATGCACGCAGGGGGGTAGCTCACATTGGCCTGTAATGTTGCTCTGAACCATCTGTATAGAGACCATCACTGTGGGTGCTCTGGAAGGTGGTCTTTTACGAACGGAAGTCTATGATATACCCTCAAGTAGCCATTATAATAGGATTTATGAATAACTTTTAATGTAGGGAAATGCTTATATTTTAAATGAAAAAGTTTAAAATTATATATAAACCCCAAAACTCAAATCCATTGTCATTAAGAGGAGCCTTGGTAGTGCAGAGAGGGTTCTGAGCCGGGCTGCTGAACTATAAGGTCAGTGATCCACCAGTGTCTCCTCTGGAGAAAGGGTGCCTTTCCGCTCTGGGAAAGATTTACTGCCTCGGAAACCCTATACAAGGTCACTGTGAGTTGGAGCCGATTCAGTGGCACCACCACCACTGCCGCCATTGCCATCGAGGTAGTTAATGTAGGGCAAAACTTATAAGCACTTTAATCTGGCTGTCTGAAAATTGGATCAGTCAGATGTCTGTGTTATGGTTCCATTTCAATAGATTTCTTTTCCTTGGAATACAGGAACAGAAAAATCTGAATGCTGTATTTGTATTTAGGTGAAAGGAAAAGACGGAGTTGGTGCCGTCATGGATTCCATGGAACTAGAGAGACAAAGAGGCATCACCATTCAGTCAGCAGCCACCTTTACCATGTGGAAAGATGTCAATATCAACATCATAGATACTCCTGGTGAGTTACGTTACTGATTTTATTGCAGCTTGTTTTGGCAAAAGCACATTTTTATCTCTCTGTTATGACCCACCTCCTTTTTTAGTGTAAAATATTCAAAATTATAACTGTCAGTTCTTATTGAGAAGACTGACTTGGGAGACCTTGAACACTTCATCTTTATGTGGTTTCTTCAAAAATAGCAGAAATAAATTGTGAATAGAGAAGTTTCTACTTTTTACATTATCTCATCTGATTCCAAAAATGCCTTGGATTTGGTGGTGAGTGAATGGTTTTAATGGACTAAGGAATCTAACTCAAATTAGAAACTTACATAATGCAGAGATGCAAAAACTTTATAGTGAATGTATTAAAAACTGGGGCTGCTCTTTAAGACCCTCACACCCTTCTTTGTCTCATTAGGCCATGTGGACTTCACGATTGAAGTTGAAAGGGCTCTGAGAGTGTTGGATGGAGCAGTCCTCGTTCTCTGTGCTGTTGGAGGGGTGCAGTGCCAGACCATGACTGTCAATCGTCAGATGAAGCGCTACAACGTTCCATTTCTAACTTTCATTAACAAACTGGACCGAATGGGCTCCAACCCAGCCCGGGCACTGCAGCAAATGAGGTAGCGAGCATTAGGAAGAGCTGGGAGCTGTGATGATCTGGGCTACATCTTACATTCAGAAGGGTGATGAAGTCACTGGCATTAAGCTTTATTCTTGAGTTTTTCCTGTTTAAATTTTATTTATGTGAATGATTTATCCTAGTAAATGGAATACAGAGGTCATTAGTTTTATTGATTGTTGTTGTTGTTAAGTACTGTGGAGTTGGTTCTGACTCATAGACCCTGCACAGGGTTTCCTAGGCTACAGATCTTTATGGGAGCAGAAAGCCTCATCTTTCTTCCGCCAAACTGCTGCTAGTTTCGAACTGCTGACCTTGAGGTTAGCAGCCCGATACGTAACCACTACACTATCAATTCTATAAAATTGCATTTAAGGATTTAAGTCTCAGGAGGTTGAAGGTGAATTCAGAAAACAGATACACTGTTTTGCTGTAGTTAGAGACGGTACCATCTAGAGTAGATTCTTCAGCTATTTTCTCTGTGGATTTGTGTGATTTTCCTGTTCTGGAATGCCGATAATATTTAAGTTATTCCTCTTCATGTTGTCCAACATGAATCTTAGACTTTCTTGAGATTTTTTTGTCCTTTATTCTGTTTGCTCTTCTTAGTATTGAGAGATTTGTCTTCCAGCTCACTAGTTCTGCTTCCCATCTCGTCTATTGTACTCCTTTGCCCTTTCAGTGTACTGTGTGTTACTGATATTATTGATCGTTTGGACCTCTCTCTGTAGGTTTTGAATTGTTCCCAATGCTGTATCTATGTTACTTGATTGTTCCTGTAATGCTTTTCTGACTTCTTCCTTGTTTTTCTTAACTCCATTGTAGAGTGTTTTGAAACATTTTATAATCATTTTTCTGAATTCCTTCTCAGACATTTCCAAGGCCTGCCCTCCTTCCAGAATGGAGTCCAGTTCTACCTCTAGGTCATTTGTCCCAGACATTTTATCTTGTTTCTAGACATGTGTTGATATGGTCATTTGCTTTTGCTTCTTGGGCATGTTTAGTGTTTATCGGTGGCCTTAATACTTAATTGAGTATGTGTTTTGGTATTTTTTATGCTTTCTGATTGCCTCCAGGTAGATGTGATTAGGACGTGGGCTTCCCTTTTCACTCTTCTTATTGCTTAACTCAGAGTAATTTTCACAGCTGTTGTCTGCCTCCCTGGTATATGGCAGCTGGTATTCGTTCTTGCCAGGATTTTGGTATTTTATAGAGTGTGATTGTAGCTTGACTGTATGGCAGCAGTTGCTGTCTCTTCTTGGGTAATATAGGGAGAGAAAGAGTCCCAAAAAGGGTAAAGGGGGGCGGAGCATAAAATAGCAAAAAAAAAAACCAACAAACCCAAGAAAACAACAACTAGATTGGATACTGTAGTCTGTAATCGCTGAAAGGGGGAAGAGGGAGACAAGAAAAAAGTCTGTAGCCTAATATGAGTGTGACTTTAATGTCCTCTTTCAGCTTCTTGCCTTCAAGGCCATCTGAATAACTTTGAAGATGCCACTGTTGGTTGTTATGCTGTATCTCAGGATTTAATTTAATTTTCGGACTGTTTTGTTTTTAAACTCTCTTTCTCTCCCCACACCCCTTGTTCTGGCCTTTTCCCTATTAAAGAACAGTTTAGGGCTGGCTCTTGGGCTGAGAGTATCTGTGCGCATGTGCAGCAGAAGACCCCACTAGTGGTGGGGGTGGGGAGTGTCCACTCGCTCAAGCACCCCCTCCAGTCACCAGAATGCTGGTGGCCAATGAACAGATACCAAAAAAAAAGAAAAGAAAAGAAAATCAGAACAAAGCAAAACCGACAAAATGTATTTGTCCACCTTTGTTCCAAGGTTCCTGCAGTGTTACCCCGTGGTGGGTATGCTCTCCCACTAGGTCTTGCTGTTTGGTCTTGCCCAAGTTGTTGGCTCCGGGCCGCTGAGCCCGGCAGATTCAAAAGTACACGATTTCTTACTTCCACTTTAACTTCTACTAGCTATAAACCTTCAGACTTTTAAAATATTCCTACCTACGTGGTTCAGAGTTTTGGAACTCTGCCCTGAACCCTCTTCATTTGGTATTCTGTGGTATTGCTGAGGACGAACCTCACTGCACCTCTACCCTATCCGCCATAAAGCCCGTCCTCCTATCTAGACAGATTCTAAAAGATTCTTTACAATTTAGATAAACCTAGACTGATAAAGGAGCTCTGGTAGTGTAGTGGTTATGAATTGGGTTGCTGACCTCACAATCAGCAGTTTGAAACTACCAGCTGCTCTGTGAGAGAAAGATGAGGCTTTCTGCTCCTGTAAAGATTTACAGCCTCGGAAACCCTGTACAGGGTCGCTATGCATTGGAATCGCTTTCACAGACTTTGATAAAGGGGCCTTGGTGGTACAATGGATTAAGCATTGGTCTGCTAAGCCCCAGTGGTTCATACCCACTAGATGATGCTCCTTTAGAGATGTATGTTCTTGGAAACCCTGTGGAGCAGTTCTACTTTGTCCTCTAGTCCTGTTTTCTTGTGGCAGTGGATGATGTGCTGGTGGCAGACTTTGGTGTTAACCTTTACTTCAGAAATTTGTAATTAATGCCTTTTAATTGTATGCCAGAGAGATGATACTCCCTAGCTTTTGAGTAAAACAATAACTCTTCTTTTCTGTACCAGGTATAACCCAGGAGTATTTATAGCATTTTACAATTTATACAATAATATGAGTCAAAACTGACTCCACTGTGCTTAACAACAACAGCAGCAGCATATATTTAACCCAGCCTTTTAAAAGAGTTAGAGTTTCACTTTTCACCTTTTGTAGATATGTAAATGGAGCCATGGAGTTCCAGCTCAAGTTTTACATGGCAAAGCTGATTGATCTAAGTGGAAACAGTTCAAGGTAGTGGATGGACTGGGAGTCATTTAATGCGTGACATAATAACAATGTGGGAGCTTTAAGTGATAGCAGAAATACAGAGTTGCTCTCTGTATTCTGATAGAGATGATACATTTTAAGATATTAAAGGTTTCTTTGCTGGGTGTTGGTAATATTTTCTTAGCAAAACTAAGTTTTCACTATTTGTTGTTTAGCACCATTGAGTTGGTTTCTGACTCATAGTGATCCTGTATAAGATTTCTAGGCTTGTAAATATTTGCCAAAGCAGAAAGCCTCATCTCTCTCCCATGATGCGGCTGATGGGCTTGAATTGCTTATTCTATGGAGCCACCTCTCTAAATTACTTACATTATATTTCTGCTTGACAATAGATAGATCCTTTCCATCAAGTTTTTTTCTTCATCCCAGCAAAATTCTCTTATTATTTATTGGATTAGTTTGATTTTTTTTTTTTTTTAACTGTTTTATTGTGAATTATGTGATAGTTTACATGGGAGAACATTAGTTTTACATTCATCCTATCGTATATCATTTCATTGCCATGGTTA